CCTCTAACCCCTGTCCCCAGTTGCCACATCCACACATCTCAGAAGTCCCTCCAGGGGTGGTGACCCCAGCACTGCCGGGGGCAGCTGTGCCAGGGCTGGGCAGCCCTTTCCATGAGGAAAGAGGGTTCAGTGAGTCCCCGAGGTGACTGTGAGTGCTGCTGGTGTGAGCTGGGATGCATCCAGCCCCAGGGATGGCCCCGCAGCCTGTGCCAGCCAGGGCATGCCCATCGGGCAAGAGATGCCCTTCAGTGCCTCAGACACCCTCCTGCTGCTGCCCCTTTATTGCCTGGTTGTGTTTTCTAGACCTGACAAGGACATTTTGGAGACAACAGTTGATAAATCTCCAACCCTGGGGGGTGGCACCGCAGCCCGGGGGCTTTGGGGCTTTGGGAGTGGGACTGGGGCCGTGTCCCCGCAGCCCCTGCCCGCGGTCATTGCTGTGGGGTGAAGTAACAGTCCACTTGCGTGTGACAGACAAATGGAAACCCTGCCCGGGGCCCACCTGCCGCTGCCCCGGCCCTTGACTCAGCGCCTGCGAATATCGCGGTGACGGCGAGGCTGGAAATGCTGGAGCCGGAGCTGGGAACGGGAATGGGATGGGGGGTGGGAGTGGGAGGTGCCGGGCAGGGCACTGAGCCACCCCCCTGCTGTTTGTGGTTGGCCACTGTGTGTTTTCCACATGAGCTCCCTGGGTTTCTGGAGATCTGACCTAACCCCTCCTGCAGGTCTGACTTAACAACCCTAAAGGTCTGACTTACATCCCCCAGAGAGGGGGCAGGCAGGGGCAGGAGGGGGGAAGCAGCTGAAAGGAGGGGACAGCCCCTCATGGGAAGTGTCACCAGTAACCAGCAGCGCAGAGGGGTTTGGTCACCTCCCTTCTGCTGGAATTCAGGGGGGCTGGGAGTTTTCCTGGCCGTCTGAGGTGCCTCCCATGGACTCACAGTTCCCACACGGTGTGTTCAGAGCTGGATGTGGCCAATGGGAGGTGGGGGAGCAGCTGAAAGGAGGGGACAGCCCCATGCAGGGATCATCTCCAGTAACCACCATCAATATCCCCTCCAATATCAGGGGTCTGGGAGCTTTCCTGGCCGTTTGAGGTGCCTCCCATGGACTCACAGTCCACATCACGTGTTCAGAGCTGGATGTGGGAGGTGGGGATGGTTCCTGCCCTCTCCTGTTGGGTGGCTTTGAGTGTGTCCCACTGGGGATGGCGCTGGGGACCCTCTCAGTGCCGGGTGTCCCCTTCCCCAGGGCACAGGGGGTGGGTGACTGTCCTCACTGGCCATCCCCTGGAGCCTGGCTCTGTCCCAGCCCTGCTGGGGTGTGAAGAGCCCACCAGGACCCCAGAGACGTTTATGGGACGAGCTTGGAGGATGTTACAGCTCCAGGGAGCCCTTCCCAGAGGGATGAAACGAGCTCTTGGTTTATTCCCGGCCTTTGGCATCTCTGCTTGACAGTGCACAGGTGGGGAGGTCTCCCCCCCTCCTGTCTAATGCTGGGCCTTGGCCAGGGGTGGTCCCAATCTGTGAAGCCTTCAGGGTTTGCCCCAGCTGTTGGAAGGATCTGCCCTCTCCCCGCTCAGCTGTCGTGGCGGGGAAGGCGCCACCGAGGCTTCCCCTCATTCCCACCCGGCAGGTCTCTGATCTCCTGGAAAATCTGGGGGGATGGATCAATCTGATGCTTTTGTGGGATGGACTTGCCCCTTTGGAATGGGGTCCTGCCAATAAACCCAGCTGGGGGTGCCTGTGCTGCGTCACCAGGGGGCTGGGATGGCGTGAGGGGGATCTGACCCTTTAGGGAATAAACGACACTGTCCCTGTTTGGACCAAAGTTACCTGGAAGACAACTAAGGAAACACATCAGTGCACTGGAAATGTGGGTTTAAAAACCAATTTAAAAAGTCCCAGCTTTCTGTAGAAAGAGAATCCCTGGGAATCAGGGAGAACCTGCATTTCGGCAAAGCCCTGAAATACTTGGAGTTCCAGGCAAAAACGGGCTGATATTTTTTTAATTACTCCTAAATTTTTAATATTCAACCCTCTTGGCTGCCTGCAGGGAGAGCCAGCACAGCCCACTGGGTGTGACGTTCACTTCCATGCTGAGGTGGAGGATTTGATTTCCACCACCAGACTCACTTTCACCGAGTCAGAACCCCAGAATATTCCCAGCTGGAAGGGACCCACAAGGATCACCAAGGCCCAGCTCTGAAGTGAATGGTTTCTGGGGGTGTTTGAGGTCCCTCACCCAAACCTGGGGGGGCTGAGGTGCCCCATTCCCGTCCCTACCCTTGTGGTGGCACCGGAACCTTTGTCTCTGGGTCCGGTGCCTCCCAAATCCTCTGACTCCCAGCTTGGCCAACCTGCTGTGGAGAGCAGAGTTTCCCAGCTGGAGTTCACTCAACCCCTGCTGGAGTTCACTCAACCCCTGCTGGAGTTCACTCAACCCCTGCTGGAGTTTGCTCAATGTGAGGCGTCCTGAGGGAATCAACAAGATGCCAACAGACTCCGGTAACGTGGCCCGGATAAGTTGGGGTGATAAAACCCTGTTGATTCATTTGCACTTGAACTATGAGTCACCCTGTGAGTCAACGGCACCCAAACGTCATCCAGCAGGTTGAAAAAGCTCCAGTTTTGCTCAAATCAAGGGGAATTATTGCCTTGATGTTCCTTCTCTCCTGGGGAAAGCGTTTGGTTTTCAGCCGCGCTCCCCCAAATGGAAACTGGAGAGGAATCTGAGCACCCATTTCCTTACGAGCCACAGCGTTGGTATCGATTGATTTTGCTTTCAGGGCTCTCCAAATTGCTTTTCTTGATCAAAAGAAGCCAATTCTTTTTTTTTTTTTTTATTTTTTTTTTTTTTTTATTTTTTATTTTTTATACAACAAAGTGTTTTCAGTGTAGATTAAACATCGAGATCATCCCTGGGAAAGGCACAGGGAAGACTCCTGAGGATTGTTGATGTTTGTGGGAGTCTGGAAATGGCCACCTGTGGAAAGAGTCATCAAAGCATGTGCAGGGGTCAAGTGGAGGGGTCAAGGCAGGGAGAAATCCCTGGAGGTGAAGGTGTGCAGGAACCAGAGCTTCTCCCATCATCCCCTCCAGGTGCCAGACCCAGCTGGGAGCCAAAGGAGCTGGAGGGGCTCAGATGGAAGGTCTCCTCTAGCCCTGGGCAGCAGCACTGTCTTCTCTCTTGCCAGAGCAGCTGCAGGAAATTTTCTGGTTCTTGACCCACTTGGCAAGTTTGAGCCTCTCCCAGATGCTCTGGGGAGCAGGAGGAGCTGCCCGAGCCCGGCCATGGCAGCAGAAGTGCCTGGGAGTGCCCTGCCACCTCCTCCTGCCTCAGAGAGCTCATCCCTCAGGCATCCCCAGGGTATTTTGGGGAAGGTTTTATTGGCCACATTCCTCCTGACGGGGGGAAAGTAATCGAGGAACATCTGGGGTATCACATAGTTGTGGAGGAAAGGGGCCCTCCCTGAGGCACTGACACCATCTCATGGTGTCCCAGCCTTGTCCTGCTGCCAAACAACCAGGGCAGCAGAAGAAATCCCTCCCTGGAGCACGAGGGTCTTGCTGCTCCAGCTGGGATGTGTCACCCCTCGGGCTCTTCTTTGGGATGTCCCCACATCCCTTTACAGACCAGGCTTGGCCAAGGGGGCTTTGCTCTTCCTTCGCTCCCTCCCGTTCCTGGGTGACCACAGTTCCCCCCACACCTGGAAAAACACCCCCTTGGTGCCAGACTGGGGCCACCTGGCCCTGGCAAAGGTCAGGCTTTGTGCTCTGGCTGTCCTGGAGGTGCCTCCTCACCCCCATGTCCGTGTCTGGAGGTGTTTCCTGGGGACCACGGAACCCTGAGCCTCTGGAGCAGCACCCAGGAGAGCCAGGCCCACTTGGCTCCTCCCCAGCTGCCTCCCTGGGCACAGGGAATTAGCTGGGGAACAGGCAAAACACTGCCAGCCCAAGTTTGAGGAAGGCTGGGGGTACAGAGACACCTTTGGCAGCGTCTCGTGCATGGTGAGGGAGGGAAAGGGGCAGGCTGAGGGTGAGGGGTCATGTCCTGGAGGATTCGGGGGCTTTCCTGGTGCAGTGGGGGGAATTGGAGTGAATCTGGGTTTGGGGGGTGACAGGAGGGTGGCTGGTGATGAGTTCTGGGGTGCTGAGGCTCCGTGGCCAAGGTGCTGGGGCAGGGGGCAGCTCCTGGAGGACACGGCACAGGGCGAGGGGCTGAGGATCTCCAGGAACAGGGATAGGGCCAGCTGGGCTGGGACAAATCATCCCAAGGGTTGTGTTCCAACCTCAGACATCGTGGGCTTGAGGGTGAGGAGGGGCAGGACAGAGAAAGCAGAGGGGTCTGGGGTCACAGGGGATGGGGAGTGGGTGGGGGGGGTCAGTGAAGGATTAACTTGGGGGGGGTCTGGTGTCAGTGCAGGGGCTGGGAAAGGAATGTGGGGTCCAGGGGTCCCTGGAGAGGCTGAGAGGGGGCTGCGGGGGGCAGGGGGTGGCTGAGGAGGTGGCAGTGGGGGCGTGGGAAGCCTCGAGCTAGAGGGGTGCTGGGGACAGGAGCAGTGTCCCCAAAGAAAGGTGACCCGGCCCTGGCCCGCCCAGCCCTGTGAGAGCCCAGGGGGGGCGGTGGGGGGGCCGGGACCATGTGCTGCCATCCCATAGGAGGGGGCCGCGGGGGCTGCTGAATGTGCAGGTCCCGGGTGGCTATTCCTGGCCGTCCCGCCCGCGCAGGCAGATTGGTTTGCACGGAGGTGACAAGTGCCAGCCCAAGCCTATAAAAGTGACCGCAGCCCCTGTCCTGGCTCAGTGACCTCGTTCCCCCCTCCCAGCACAGCCCTCCTGCAGCAGAGGGGACACACCTGAGCAGGGATCCCACCGAGCAGCCCCGACCCCGCGCCTGGAGGACAGACCTCTTGTCTGGAGCAGCAATCCCAAAGCAAGGCGAGAAACCGGAGCAGAGACCCCCAGCCCCGCTGACCCCCAGCCCCCCGCTCTGCAGCGATGACGGGGAAATCAGCCCCTCCAGCCAAAAAACCCGCCCCGGCAGCTGCCAAGAAAAAGGCAGCGCCGGCCCCCAAGGAAAAGGCAGCCCCAAAGGAAGAAGCGGCCCCAAAGGAAGAACCGACCCCCAAGGAAGAACCGACTCCCAAGGAAGAAGCCGCCCCAGCCCCAGCTGCTGAAGAGCCCCCAGCCCCCACAGAAGCCGCTCCCACTCCCCCAGAAGCCGGAGCAGAAGCCACTCCAGCCCCCGAGGAAGGTTCCCCAGCCCCCCCAGCCGAACCCCCGGCCCCCGAACCTGAACCCCAGCCGGAGAAGCCCAAGGAAGGTGGGGACGGGGCGGGACCCTGGAGCGGGGAGGGGGCACAGGCAGGGCTTGGAGGGGCTCGGGGGGTGTCGGGGTGAGGGGATGGAGTGGGGGAGCCGTCAAGGGGGATTCGCTGAGGACTGGGAGGGGGGTGGCAGAGGTGGAGGGTGAGGGATTGCCCTGCGGCAGAGCTGCCCTCACTCCGGGTTCGTTGCAGAGCCACCCAGCTCCCCCCTGTCCTTGGCCGTGGAGGAGGTGAGTGAGAATTCCTTCACGCTGACCTGGAAAGCCCCGGAGCACACGGGCAAGGCGGGCCTGGATGGATACCTGGTGGAGATCTGCAAGGATGGAAGTACGACCGGGCTTTGCTGCCTCTGAGCATGGAGGGGTGCTGTGCTTGTGCCGGCTTGGGGGGGGGGGGGCTGGAAACGCATTTCCCCAGGCACCAACTCCCGGTCTTTGCCCAAATCCGTTCATTTTAAATGGTTATTTTACTTTATTTATTTTTTTTTCACATGGAGAAGTGGAGCTTCCCATTGGCTTCAGATACTTGGGATGTCTCTAGCAGGGGGTTTAATGTCACTGCTGTGTCCAGCTGGAGGGTAGAGGAGGGACCAGCCTGCCCTCTGAGGATGGTCCCTGATGAACTCCAGCTCTGCAGGGACATGGGGTTGGGATGGTGATCCAGGAAAACAGGAGGAAGAAGCTCAATTCTGCCACATTTGCCTATAGTGAAACATGGAAGGAATAGGGATAAGGCAGGAGGATGAGGGAGGAAAGGATCCTGGGAAGCACAAGAGGGGCTGGAATGTGTCAGTAGACCTGCAGGAGGGTGGGTGGGTGGGTGGAGGGGGCTGGTGGGTGGCAGTGATGATCTGTGGTTCTCTGGTTGGCCTCTGGAATGGGGGAGGGTGGGGAAGACTTGAGTTTTGGGACCTCTCTTGAAGCCCTGCTGGGCCTTGGGGTGAGAGTGGGTGACCTGTGTGTCACCTCCCCTACAGGGGGAGGCTGGGGCTGCTGGGCTGGTACTGCAGGAGTCTGGAGGGGTTTGGGAGACCCAGGTGGTCTGAGGGCCTTGGGGAACTCGATCCTTGGCTGTTTAGCTGGTGGCACACCCGGCCAACACATTCTTGGCTCCCATCACTGGGCTGGGGACAGGGGACAACCAGGAGGAGGCCCTTGTGTGGCACAGGGGAAGATGCAGCAGTTCCTGGAGGGGGCTGGGGGACAGGCACCCAAAGGGCACGGTCTGGGTGCTCTCCTGGGCCTGTCTGGGTGGCAGGAGAGCTCCAGTCACACCTTGGGGACCCCCAGGCCTTTGGTGAGCGGGTGGTTTGTTCTCCACCTGAGGAGCCTCTGCAGGGTTTGGCTCAAGGCCAGGCTGTGCCAGCTGGGGATGGGGCTGCGTTTGTGCCTCCTGCCTGTGGGGTGGGTGTGAGATGCCCCTTCCAAGCAGGAAGCTGGAGGTGAAGGGAAAGAGCAGCTGGTGGGATTTGGCTGCTCTTGACGGCACTGGCAGAAAAAGCTCCTTGGTTTGAAGGTGGCTTGGCATGGACAGGTCCGTGGGGCTGGTGGGTCCTTGAGGAGACCTTGCCTGGGGCACTGGATGTGCTGGGGGACATGGGGAACACCAGTGTTGCCCTGGGGCAGTGAGAGGGGTGCACTGGCAGGGGGGTCAAAGGATTTTTGCTTTCAGAAACACCCCTGGTCAGCAAGGAGCACATTTACTGGACTGTGATGCCTTTTCTTACCTGCAGACACCCTCCTGCTCCACTGCTGAGCTTCTGCCAGCTCTGCATGCCCCAAACTTCTCACCCAGCTCTTCACACCCAGCTCTTTACACCCCACACTCCTTGCCAGGGGGTGCCCAACCTCCCCTCTAAGGTCCCTTTTCCTGCTGCTGCCCCAAATCATTCCAGCTTTCCAAGGAAGGGGTTCTGTGCCTCTGGGTCCCTCCTGGGGGGATCCTGCTGTTTGGGGGGGTGTCTGTCTGTCCCTGGTACACCTGAAGTTCTGTGCTGGGTTCATCCCAGGTTCTGACTGGAAAGCTGTGAACCAGGAGCCTTTTCTTTCCACGCGCTACACGGTCCCAAACCTCAGCTCCGGGGACAAGATCCACGTGCGGGTGACGGCCGTCGGTGCCAGCGGCTCCAGCGCCCCTGCCACGCTGGAGCAGCCTGTGCTCATCAGGGAGATCCTCCGTGAGTACTGCAGTGTTCCAGGGGTAATCCCTGCACAGCTCCAGGGGGAAATCCTGGCACAGATCCAGGGGGAAATCCCTGCAGAGTCCAGGGGGAAATCCCTGCACAATTCGGGGGTGAAATCCCTGCAGAATTCCTGTCTATCCCTGCAGAATTTCTCAATTCCCTACAGAATTCCTGTGAGAAATCCCTGCACAATTCCTGACCATCCATGCACAATTCCTGTGTGTCCATCCCTTTAGGATTCCTGTGTGAAATCCCTGCACAGTTCCTGGGTGTCCATCCCTGCACAGTTCCTGGGTGTCCATCCCTGCACAATTCCCACACTTGACCCGGATCACAGAGCATTCGGGGCTGGAAGGGCCCACAGGGATCCTCAGGTCCAACCCTTGAGTGAAAGGCCCACACAGGGATCAAACCTACCCCCCTGGAACACCCAGCTGCTCTGATCCCAGATTTTGGGGTTATTCTCCAGGCCTGTGCCCAATTCCCTCGGGAAGGAGAACCTTCCCAAGCTCCTCCCACAGCCGGGGCAGCTTCAGGGTGAGGGAGTCCTTGGGCAGAGCCCCCCATCTCCATGGCAGGAGCTCAGGGTCCATGTCCCTCCCCGCTTCTCTCCTCCCCCTGGACATGCTCTCATCCCAAAAATTCCCCCCTCTCGTTTGCCAGCTCCGTTTATTCAGCTCAGGGAAGGCAAGAGCTGCTTGTCTGGGCCGTGGGAACTCCAATCACGCTGAGCTCGCTAATGAAGGAGTGGCTGCCGTGCCTGGCAATGCTCACATTCCTCCCGGGATGCTGCACTGGATGAGGCTTTGCTGGTTCCCACAGTAAACGGCAAATTCAGGCTCATTTTCCCTTTCCAAGGAATTATTAAGGCCCAAGTTTTCCTGGTATTTGAAGGACATATCAGATTTTACAGCTGCTTAAAAATAGCAATAATGCTAACAAAGGTTATTCCAGGAACCATCAGCTTTTCATAGGAAAAGGCTTGGAGGAGCTCTTGGAGGTGTCGGGGTTTGTGCTCTGGGAGGAGGTGGATGTCTCTTCTCCTCTTTTCTTTTCTCTTTTTTTTCTTTCTTTTTTTTTCTTTTTTCCTCCCTCTTTTTTCTTTTTCCTTTTTTTCCTTATTTTTCTTTTTTCTTTTTTTTCTTTTTTCTTTTTTCTTTTTCCTTTTTTTCCTTATTTTTCTTTTTTCTTTTTTTTTTTTTTTTTTTTTTTTTTTTTTTTTTTTTTTTTTTTTTTTTTTTTTTTTTTTTTTTTTTTTTTTTTTTTTTTTTTTTTTTTTTTTTTTTTTTTTTTTTTTTTTTTTTTTTTTTTTTTTTTTTTTTTTTTTTTTCTTTTTTCTTTTTTCTTTTTTCTTTTTTCTTTTTTCTTTTTTCTTTTTTCTTTTCCTTTCCCTTTCCTTTTCCCTTCCCCTCCCCTCTCCGTTCCCGTTCCCTGAGGTGTGTCCAGCCCACGAGTTCTCCCCTCTCTGCCTGGTCTGTTCCCTTCTGGTTCTCCCGTTTTCCCGGGCCTGCCCTTTGTGCCCCTCCCCCTGCATTTACAGCAGCGGGCACAGACTCGGGGACAGCTCGAGGGGCTTGGGGACAGGAGAGGGACACGGAGAAGGGAGGGAGGAGCAGGGTGGGAGACCCGTTCTGCAGGGACCTGGGGCAGGGAAAATGCCTTCTCACGATGACAGTGTCACCTGGGCCACCAACACTGTCCTCCCCACCCTGACACTGTGTCACCTGGGCCACC